TCCAAACCATAGGCTCTGAGGATCAGACTTAAGCTACCTAGTAGACATAGCAAACTGTCCCTCATCGGATTATTCAGTAATGCTTGTTAGTAATCTCATACATGAGCCCTGGATATCCACAGACAAATGTAAAAACCTTCCCTGAAAGCTGAGACTGTAAATTCCAAAAAGGCAAGTCCCCCCTCCACCATCCAAAAAAAAAAAGCTAAAGAGGATAGAGAGAAACACTGTTAACTGATGATATATGGAGGAGATAATAATCAATGTAATGAAACAAGCTATATGAATGGTTGAATGTGAAGCTGATGATGTGCCCTGTAAACTTTCACTCAATCCAAAATAAAAACATTTAATTAAAAAAAAAAAAAAAGAAAAGATTGAAGTTATCAAAGACTTCATTTTGGTTGGAGCCACCATCAACACTCATGAAAGCAGAAGTCAAGAAATTAAACAATGTATTGCATTAGGCAAATCTGCTGCACAAGACCTCTTTAAAGTGTTCAAGAGCAAATATATCAATTTGAGGACTGACCCAAACCATAGTATTTTCAGTGATCTCATATGCATGTGAAAGGTGGACAGTTTAAGGAAGACCATAGAATTGATGCATTTGAGTTATGGTGCTGGATAAAAATATTAAAAGTATCATGGACTGCCAAAAGAACAAACAAATATGCATTACTAGTACAACCAAAATGCTCCTTGGAGGCCAGGATGGTCAGACTTCATCTCTCATACTTTGGACATATGATCAGGAGGGACTAGTCCCTGGAGAAGGATATCATGTTTGGTAGAGTGTATGAGCAGAGAAAAAGAAGCAGGGCCCCCCCACCACCACCAATACGACTAACAAAATGGCATATGAATCGTACCAACTCAATGGCACGTAACAACAGAATTCCATTATGCAAATCTGGTACAAAAATACCAAGACATCGTTTTTGAGGATTAAAGCGCGCCTCTCAATCTCCTCAAGTGCATTCGAATGTTTGACAACAAGTAAGGAAGGGTAGCGCAAAAACTGCAGGGGGACCATGTCTGATTTCCTCTGGCTTCTCAAGGAGGAAGGAGAGTCCATTTTAAAATATAAACCCCTGTATTATATCATCTACCCAAACCAAACCAAACTCACCACCATTGAGTGAATTTCAACTCATAGCAACACTAAACAACAGAGGTTTCCCATAGGGTTTTCAAGGCTGTCTGCTATCTCTCTCTCCCAAACAGCTGGTGGGTTCAATAGTCAGCCTTTAGGTTGACAGTCAAATGCTTAATCACTATACAATCATTTATAGTGTCTGTTAAAAATGCCAATTTCTTGCTGCAGTTCAGGCCTATTTTTACATCAGAACTGGACGGAGTAGGCCAAAATTCTGCTTTTTAATGTGCCTTTGATGTCACTCTTTACATACTAATTTTTAAATTACAGGACATCAAAATAAACATAATAAAGGTGACCTGCAAGATCATGCTTTCTATTAACAGTAGGTGCTTATCTTCAGAGATGAGGTGGCAAATGCCCTACTTCAAGTTTACCTAAATTTTCATGTTAAATAGCATGTTTTTCTATTTAACCATGAAAATGTTATTTTTAAATCTTCCATATAAAATGGTGCAAGTAGTTTGCAATTGGCTGCTAAGAGCCAGGACTGGAGCTTGTTCTCTGGACTCCAATATTCTTGCACACTGAATCTCTCAACCCAGGGACCCAAAGCGGCAACACCCGAGGAGTAGCGGAGGAGTGTCAGACAAGTAGCAGCAGCAGAAGCCAGAGCCAGAGTACCAGACAGTGGGCTTCCCAGCCCAGGAAGTAAAGCTGAATGCCTTTGGGCACGAGGCTCCTTGTGGAGTGGGGTGCCTCCAGACACTTAATTGGGGAACTTGATTTGCTACCCACAAAACTAGAGTTGAGTGCCTTTGGGCTGAGGCTTAAAGCGGAACTGAGTGTCCTTTGGGCACTTAGCAGCAGCACTAAAAGGGCAGTCCAAGCAGGTCAGAGGCCAGAGCGAAGCCTGCCTGCAAGCATGACTGAAACAAGACTACCCTAATGGTCCATCCAAGCTCTGAGCATTTCTGACCCTGAATTGTAAACTGTTACCGTCCCTAATAAAGCCCATTAACTGTGAGTATGGTGTTAGAGTTCTGAGTGGCCACTGCAATGATTTTTTATCAAAGCCAGCTGAGTAGAATGCGCTGGGCGGGACAGCTGGTGTCAGACTTGGTAGACATTAAAAAGGCGGAGGTATGTGTCTGATCTCAGCCTCCTTAGGAATCAGCCCAGAGCTGAAGCCTATGCTGAGTCTCCTTCTCCCTCCCCTAATGCCCCACCCCACCCCACAGGGAAAATAAGAGGGCAGACAATGATGCCACCACCATACTATTTTTACAGTTAGTGATTGATGGTTCAAAACAACCCAGAAGCTCAGAGAAAGCCAAACAATCTGCTTACATAAAGACTGGTTTTGTTGTTAAGTTGATTCTGACTCATAGTGACCCTGTAAAGGGTTTCCGAGGAGCAGCTAGTGAGCTTGAACTGCTAACCTTGTGGTTCAAACAGACCTTGCAGTCCAGCACATTAACCCACAGTGCCACACCAGGGCTCCAACATAAAAATTACAGCCAAAAAAACCCCTACGGAGCAGTTCCGTTCTTGAACACACAGCCCAGGGTCACCATGAGTCATAACTAGCGTAATTTTTTGTTGCTGTTTATTCAACATTACTTGTATACTCCATTTCCTACTGAAATATCCATTCTCTTCTACCCAGACATATAAGAAATCATTTGAGATCTTGCTCAAAACTCTCTTTCACTATGAAATCATTCTCAAATGAATCATTTTGGGATTATTTTCTCCACTTGCCCATCACACTTAGGTATGGAGTATGCACATCATACAACGCTATACAATTCTCAGTGTTTTTAATTCTTCATTTGTTCTTTCATAGGATTTTTAACCCCAACTTTTACTGGCAACTTTTATAAATCAAATACTGTGGTAACAGAATCTTATTTAACACACCTGTTGCTTATTAAACATGCAGGCTTCCTCTTCCCTTAAACCATGGTATTTGGAGTACAATGGAACCAAGACCACAGAGCTCTATCACCACCTACTTAGTTGTTGTGTTGTGAAGTGCCATTGAGTTGGTTGCGACCCATAGAGACCCTGTAAAAGGTTTCCCAGGAGCAGCTGGTGAGATTGAACCACCGACCTTGGCAGTTCAAACGGCTTTGCAGTCTGGCGCATTAACCCACAGCGCAACATCAGGACTCCACTTACATAGTTAAGTCAATTAACTATGAATCTCCTGATTTTCCACCTCCTCAGGAGTTTAAAATTAGGGCTTGAAGCCCCATGTTACACCGTATCATTAAAGATACAATGCAAGCTTTTCACAATTACCTAGTAAAATTCATTTGGAATGTCTGTTAGAAATGCATGTTTTTCCATTTTCCTGATGATTCTTATTTGGTAGGTTTGAAGCTGGGAAATCATACATGATTCTACAAGGTCTAACAAGCGCTAGTTGTTGTTAAGTGCCATCAAGTCGGTTCGGACTCACAGCGACCCTGTATAGGGTTTCTAAGGAGTGGCTGGTAAGCTTGACCGGCCGACCTTGCGATTCAAACCAGCTCTGCAGTCCAGAGCATTAACCCATAGCGCCGCACCAGAACTCCAAGGAGCGGTGGTAGCATAGTGGACTATTAGCTGGGCTGCTAGCCGCCAAGGTCAGTAATTCAGGTTGACATGCCGCTCTGCGGGTGAAAGTTGAGGTTTTCTGATCCTGGGCTTCGGAAACCCTGTACTGACTCGCCATGCGTCAGAACTCACTAGGTGGCACTGGTAAGGCACTGCACGATAAGCACTGGACTGCTATCCACAAGGTTGGTGGTTCAAACCCACCAGACGCTCCTTGGAAACCCTATCCAGGATCGCTATGAGTCGGAACCGACTCGACGGCACCTACTAACACATCTGAGTGGAAAATAAAACAACTGGGAGGGTGGAAACTCTGGATCGTTCAAACTGGATGCCAGTCAGAATAAACGTCAAACCAAACAGACATGAGATTTGTGCACAATGAGAGACATCCCTCTTCCTTTGAGTGTGTAATTCAGAACTCAGTTATTCCAGTGTACAGAGTAAAAGCAACATAAAGCAGCAAATACTGATACCCCATACTCTTGACCCAGCAGAATGTTTTTCCAAATCATCTGTAAAACAAACATCCCACTGTCTCAATTTTTCAAGAAATACCTCTCCAAGTCCAGAAATACTTGCAAGAGGCAGTGATGTCTTGTCACTCTGTCATCCCTTAACTAAAGAAGGTAATTTGTTGTAGGGAAACAGGTTTCATAATTAAGACGGATGTTGTTGTTATGTGCCGTCGAGTCGGTTCCGACCCATAGCGACCTTGTATAGGGTTTCCAAGGAGTGGCTGGTGAGCTTGAACCGACCTAGAGATCAAACCGACTCCGCAGTCCAGCGCATTAACTCTCAGCGTCACACCAGGACTCCAATTGATAGATGGGGTTAAAAACTGAAACTCTCTGATTTTACCAGCTGTACAATATTAAGGCAAGTTGCTTCACTTAAAAAAAGATTCCGTATTTTCCCCTCAGGATTATAAGGCTTGGCACGCAATTCTATCTCAGGCGTCGGTTCCCTTCCCGTATCGCCCTCCCAATGGGAAAGGGGCTGCGTGGGTTCCGAGAGCTGGCCCGGGGCAGGGCGGAGCGGGGAGAAGGGAGGAATGAACTAAGGTTAAAGGAGATGCAAAGGGAGCGGCAGGCGAGAAAGGTGAACCCGGAGCAACACTAAAGAACACAGCGGCCTCCCCTCCAGGAGGGTGTGTGACTGAAGCTCAGGGGTTGAGAGGCAAGAAGCCGAAAGAAGCGGCCATTACCTGCGTCCAAGCAGCCGCGGCGGGGCCAGGGCCGCAGTGAGGTCCTCGTAGCTCCGGCCGCCCACCAGCGGAGTCCAAGCCTGGCCGCAGCCCCAACCTTTCTGCGCCCAGCCTCGCCACGCCATCTTCGCAACCTCCGCCCCACCATGGCCCGACCTTACCAACCCCCGCCGTGGAACCACTTCCGGGGCAAAGGAAGAACCATAGAGCACCAATGAATAGCCTAGAGCGCCTCCATGCGGCTAAACTGAGGTTCGACCCGCGTAGCCGCTAATCTCCCCCTCCTTCTATACAGCGGAGCTAACCCAGAGCACATAGCCTTCCTTCCATCTGCGTATCGAGAAGGAGAAGCTCAGAGTAAAAAGAAGAGACAACGAACATTTGTTAAGTAATATGGTGTACCTTACTTGCTGAAAGTGAAGAAGAGTTGAAGTACTTACTGAAGATGAAAGTCTACAGTCTTCAATCTGGATTACACTTCGATATAAACAGAGCAAAACTCACAACCAGACTAATAAATAGATATAAATAGAACAAAACTCACAACCAGACTAATAACCAGCACCATAACAATAGACAATGAAAAGATTGGAGGGCAGATCTACAACAAATGCTTCTTTAAAGTGTTAAAAAAAAAAAAAAAATGTCACTTTCCAGACTAAGGTGCACCTGATCCAAGCTCTGGTATATTCAATTGTCTCCTATGCATGTGAAAGCTGGACAATGAATAAGGAAGGCCCAAGAAGAATTGATGCCTTTGAATTATGGTGTAGGCAAAGAACATTGAATATCCCATAGACTGCTAGAAGGACGAACAAATCTGTGTTAGATAAAATACAGTCAGATTGCTCTTTACAACTGAAGATAGCAACTTACTTTGGGTGTGTCATCAAGAGGGATCGATGGTTTTGCTTGGTAAAGTAGAGGGTCAGTGAAGAAGAGGAAGACCCTCAAGGAAATGGATTGATACAGAGTGGCTGCAACAGTGAACTCAAACTTAACAATTGTGAGGATAGCACAGGACCAGGCTGTGTTTAGATCTGTGATACACAGAGTCGCTATGTATAATCCTATGAGTTACACATAGTCCAAACTGACTCAATGAGACCTAACAACAGTCATGTACCAGGCAGGGTATTGTAACCATGGTAATGAAACAATATATGATAGGATGAATGTAAAACTAATGTTCTTCCATGTAAACTATCACATAATTCACAATAAAACATTAAAAATAAGAAAGAAAAAAAAAAAAAAAAGGAGATATGATGGCTCATACCTTTAACAAAAAATCCAAGCCTGAAATGAAAATATGACTTTCTAGATGAAATGGCTTTCAAGCTTCTTCATGATTCTGTGCTTGCCTACCTGTCAGTCAGCTTTATTTCCTGCCTCTCCTGTCACTCCCATCTCTACCTGTAGCCATAATGAATCATTTATAGTTTCTCAAAGGCACCATGCTAGTTCCCATTCTCTCTGTTCATATATCACTCTCATGCCTGAAACGCATTCCCCTTTTCTCCTTCACCACTAGCCTTCACCAGCAACATAGCCTTAGACTACCCTCCCCAGACCTCCACACTGATTCAGATGTCCTTCCTAAATTCTTTTATACAACTCAAGGAAGTAAAAGAGTTGAACAGAAAATTTCAAAGGGCAGCTCAAGAAGATTAAGTCAAGTATTATACTAAAATGTTTAAAGACCTGGAGTTAGAAAATGAAAAGGAAAAAAACACGCTGAGCATTTCTCAAGATGAAAGAACTGAAGAAAAAATTCAAGCCTCAACTTGTACTATTGAAAGATTCTATGGGCAAAATATTGAACGACGCAGAAAGCATCAAAAAGGGATGGAAGGAATACACATAGTCACTGTACCAAAGAGAAATGGATGATACTCAACCATTACAAGACATAGCATAATGATCAAGAGCCAATGGTATTGGAGGAAGAAGTCCAAGGTGCACTGAAGGTATTGGCAAAGGACAAGATTCTGGGAATTGATGGAATACAAACTGAGATCTTTCAACAAACTGATGCAGCATGGAGGCAATCACTCATCAATGCCAAGAAATTTGGAATATAGTTACTTAACCAACTTATTGAAAGAGATCCATATTTATGCCTATCCCAAAGAGAGGGGGACCCAATGGAATGTTGAAATCACTGGACAGTATCATTAATATCACCTGCAAGTAAAATTTTGCTAAAAATAATTTTAAAATGACGGCTGCAACAGCACTTTGGCAGGGAACTGCCAAAGTTCAGATGAGGATTTAGATGAGGACATGGAACCAGAGACATCATTGCTGGTGTCAGATGGATCTTGGATGAAAGCACAAAATACCAGAAAAATGTTTTCCTGTCCTTTATTGACTATGCAAAGGCTTACAACTGTGTTGATCATGACAAGCTATGAATTGCGGAAAATGAGTATTCATTCTCCAGGGGCTGGTCCTTCCTGATAATATGTCCAAAATATGAGAAAAATCTCACCATCCTGGTTTTTAAGAGCATTCTAGCTGTAGTTCTTCCAACATAGATTTATTTGTTCTTCTGGCAGCTATAGGCCTTTCAATAATCTTCTCCAACACCCTAACTCAAATGCATCAATTCTTCTATGGTCTTCCTTATTCATTGTCCAACTTTCACATGCATATGAGGCAATTGAAAATACTGTAGCTTGGATGGTATTTTAATCCTAGAATTTATTTATAACTTTGCTCTTGAATACACTTTAAAGTGGTCTTGTGCAGCAGATTTGACCAATGCAATATGTCATTTGAATTCTTGAATTCTGCTTCCATGAGTGTTGATTGTGGATCCAAGAAAAAAATGAAGTCTTTGACAACTTCAATCTTTTCTCCATTTATCATAATGTTATTTACTAGTCCAGTGGTAAGGATTTTTGTTTTCTTTACATTGAGGTGCAACCCATACTGAAAACTGTTGTCTTTGATCTCCATCAGTAAGTATTTTAAGTTCTTGTCACTTCGGCAAGCAAGGTTGCATCATCTGCATATCACAGGCTGTTAATGAGTTTTCCTCCAATTCTGATGTCATGCTCCTCTTCATATCCAGCTTCTTGGATTATTTGCTCACCTACAGATTAAATAAGTATGGTGAAAGAATACAACCCTGGCTCATACTTTTCCTGATTTTGAACCATTCAGTATCCCCTTTTTCTTCTGTTTGAATGACTGCCTCTTGGTCTATGTACAAGTTCCTCATGAACACAATCGTGTGTTGAGGAATACCCATTCTTTGTAATGTTATCCACAGCCTGTCATGATCCACACAGTTGAAATCATTTGCATAGTCAATAAAACACAAGAACACATCTTTCTGGTATTCTCTGCTTTCAGCCAAGATCCATCTGACATCGGTAATGATGTCTCTAGTTCCACATCCTCTTCTAAATCCGGCTTGATTTTCTGGCAGTTCCCTGTTAATGTACCGTTGCAGCAGTTTTTAAATTATCTTAAGTAAAATTGTACTTACATGTAATATTAATGATATTGCTTGGATTTCCACATTCAATTGGGTACCCTCTCTTTGGAATGGACACAAATAGGTATCTCTTCCAATCATTTGGCCAGGTAGCTATCTTCCATATTTCTTGGCACATGCCTCCTGTGCTGCATCAGTTTGTTGAAAGATTTCAATTTGTATTCCATCAATTCCTAGAGCCTTGTTTTTTGGTAATACCCTCAGTGCAACTTGGGCTTCTTTCTTCAGTACCATTGGCTCTTGATCATAAATATTACCTCTAGACATAGTTCAACACTGACTAATTCTTTTTGGTATAGTGACTGTGTGTATTCCTTCCATCTTCTTTAGGCAAAATATTGACTAATACAGGAAGCATGTATTGTTTTCTGTACATTGAGATTCAATCCATACCGAAGACTGTGCTCTTTGATCTTCATCAGTAAATGTTTTAAGTTCTCTTCACTTTCAGCAAGCGAGGTTGTATCATCTGCACATCACAGGTTGTTAATGAGTCTTCCTCCATCCTGATGCCACGTTTTTCTTCATATAACCCAGCTTCTTGGATTATTTGCTCAGCATACAAATTGAATAAGTATGGTGAGAGAATACACCTTTCTTAATTTTAAACCATTCAGTGTCCCCATGTTCTATTCGAACAACTGCCTCTTGTTCCTGGTACAGATTCCTCATGAGCAAAATTAAGTGTTCCGGAATACTTATACTTTGCAATGTTGTCCTTAGCTTGTCATGATCCTATAGAGTCCTTCAATATGTCAACTGATGGCTGAATTTTTTCTTCAGTTCTTTCAGATTGATTAATGTTGAGTGTATTTTTTCCTTTTGGTTTTCTAACTCCATGTCTTTGCACATTTCATTAAAATACTTGACTTTGTCTTCTTTAGCTTCCCTTTGAAATTTCTGTATGGCTCTTTTACTTCCTCATTTATTCCATTCACTTTAGCATCTCTATGCTCAAGAGAAAACTTGAGAGTCTCTTCTGACATCCATTTTTGTCTTTTCTTTCTTTCCTTTCTTTTAAATGATCTTTTGCTTTCTTTTTGTATGAGGTTCTTTATTTCATTTCACAGCTCCTCTGGTCTTCGACCATTAGTGTCTAATTCATCAAATCAGTTCTTGAAATGGTCTCTAAATTCAGTTGGGATATGTTCATGTTCATATTTTGGTTCTTGTTGATTTGGTTTCATTTTTTTCAGCTCTTTATGAGCTGAAATGGTTTATTCCAGTCTGTCCCTGATCTTGTTTTAGCTGACGATGTTGAGCTTTTCCACCATCTCCTCCTACAGATATAGTCAGTTTGATTCCTGTGTATTCAATCTTGTGAGGTCCATGTGTATAACTGCCTTTTATGTTGTTTAAAAAAAGTATTTGCAATAAATAAGTCACTGATCTTGCAAATTTCTATCATGTGATATCCAGCATCATTTCTATCACCAAGGCCATATTTTTCAGCTGCTGACCTTTCTTCTTTGTTTCTAACCTTCACATTCCAATCATCAGTAATTATCAATACATTTTTATTGCATGCTTGAACAATTTCAGATTGAACAAGCTGTTACAATTTTTGCTATTTCAATATCACTGGCTTTAGTGGTTAGTGCATAAATTGGAATAATAGTAGTATTAATTGGTCTTCCTTGTAGGTATAAGAATACTATCCTTGAATCACA